GAGAGAGATTGGATATCCCAGAGAGACGGCGCCATTCGAGAAGACGTAGATTCGGTCTCATATCTGTCCCAATAGTTCCTACGACCACGACTTGGTTATAGTTCTGACACTAAATTTCCACGTGTTTTGCGGAGAAATCAGTTTTCGGGGTTTTATTGGGGGGCGGGGGGCTTTTTGGGCACAATGAGATGTGGAGGTCTAATCGGATTGAACAATCGATTACTGAATCGCGGTTGGTATCAATGGAAATGGGTTATCGAGCGTCGATTGTACGATTCTATGATTTTAGTCGTAAATCAAGTAAGTTGTGGGGGGATTTTGGGGAGGGTGGCTGTGATTGGGGGGGAGGGGACTGGGTGAATATTCGTATCTGATTTTGAATATCAAACGTACGGGGGGAATTTCATTTGGTGAGAGTGCAGCGAGTGATTCGTCAGCCAAAAATCGGAGTGAATTGTGATTTTGTTGGGTTTTTGTGGGTGAGGGTAATTAAATTTTTTGTCGAGGAGAAATATTTAGATGAATCGAGATGGCAAATTGCGAATAAATGAGCGAAAATGACCGGAACGAAAGCAAAGATGGCGAGTAGAAAAATAATATTATCATTGAAGAATAAATCATTAGAAACTCAGTTGAATAGTCTCAAGATAAATAACAACAGACATAAATTCAATAAATTCAAGACAATGAGGCCCGACTGAGTCGTCACTCAGTCCAATGTCCCCGCAAGAGAGATTGATGCGTCAACGTCACTGTACAAATTAGCGTCTTCGTGCGAGAGGAAAACAGAATGAATGAGTCGTTGACAGTTTGAAACAAAAGAAAAGAATGTTTCAAATGCATGTCTTCACTCGGGACACTAAATAAATCATTGAAACCTCGGAATTAATTACATTCTTTTACACATTTGTTTTTTCGGGGGGAAGGGGACACGTGTTTGGGTTGGCCTCAGCAGATCCTTAACACGGGACCACTCGAGAGGCCTCGTAAACAGTCACGAGCACTTGGGACTGGTTTCGGTGCAGAGTTGACTGCTGCTCAAGGCATTCTAAAAATATACCTAGATTGTATGTATGTAAACGGGGTACATGGACTGATAGTTTGTATCACACTGAAACTTGTAAATCTCTTTTGCCGGGTCGGTATATTTTATTAAAATATTCCGGAATGCTCAATCGATACTTGCCACTGAATATTCGATCGTTCGAGAAAACGGAATATGTATGCGAACTCTGGTCGACATATGTTCCTCTTTGGATAGTGTTTTATGGTGATCGGGGCTTGTCCTCTAGATTTGGAGATTATTCTTCCAGGGTTTTCAAATAACGTCGACGAGTTTAGTTTCTCATTCGGAAATGAACGCGTTGTGATGTGCAATGGAAGAAGAGAATGGCAAATGAGTGAAGTAATAATGAAAAAGAGAGAACCCCTGTTGCAATGCCATTTTGATTTTGATTTTACGTTTCATATGAAATTTAATTATTCATTATTATTCTCCATTATATCGTACGTCGATTGAATATAAACTCGAAATCATATTTTATTTTTCTGCATAAATAACTGTTCCCGGAATTTTTCCCCTCGGAAAAAATTCCCTCGGAAATAAATTCTTATGGATTCAAATGACGATTACACATACACACATTACCAATATCAACTTAATTTATTATATCTCTCAATCGGCAAAAACACGTGACAAAAAAAATTAAATTTTTCAATTAAATTTTCCTGCATAATCAATGAACCACAACTCAATCACATAAAATCCAAAAATCATTCTCATTTAACCAAATTCCAATTTATTGATGAAATAATATAAATAATAATAATTGGAGAAAATTATTCCGGGGGAATTTTTTCCGGGGAAAAAAATCCGGTCACCAAATTTATTTACAATTAAAAATTACCTTTCATTTGAAACTCATTATAATTAAAGAAATTTCGGGATAAACAACCGCGTCTTTCTCCAGATGTTCCAGTCTGCAAAGAAGGCAAAAGTGGAGTTGTAGTTGGTGCACTGAAACAAGAGACAGTTTCGTTGATATGCGCCGTCGAGAGTCACCCGGAGCCCCTGACATTCCAGTGGACTTTCAACAATTCCGGTGAACTTGTTGATCTTCCACACTCCCGGAGTCACGCATCGGGCCCCTCAAATAGTCAAAATCCGGCTGAAAGTCTCCGGGAATATCAGCAGTATCACGGCTCAACGTTAAACTACACGCCAGCAACGGACAAGGATTACGGAACGCTGGCGTGCCGAGCAACCAACGAGCTTGGCAGACAACTAACGCCCTGCCTCTTTCAAGCAAGTATATTCCCGCCAGTTCTTCCGTGCCTCTCCATCTTTACTTGTTACTATTCTCCCTCTACATTTATTTTTCACCCCCCATTTTCTTGCTTCCTCACCGCTGCACCTCCCTCATCCCCGTGCTATTTCTCTCCGCTTTTTTCTACCGCTCTTATTTTACTGCCACTCGCAACTTACATCGCGAATGGAAAGAGCTACTTATCCCTCTGAAGCGTATATATTTTACCCTTTTTCGTGGCCGAGTTATTCGTCTTAAACGTTCTTACAGTTCTTTTTCCACTGTTTTTCGACAACTCTGGGGCATTGATTTGCCCCGATGTCCGAATTTATTGAGGAATTAGTATTGTTAATGACTTCACATGCGTTCATCTAGTGTAATTATTGCCGCAATGAGTGAGTTGTCCCTCTTGAGGTGTTTAAGGGGCTGGGATGACTGGCACTGAAACACAGGAAACAAAAGGGGAGAATCAATATTTGCGGGATCGAGCCGGTTGATGCAATAATGTAAACCGAGAGTTGGAGTTTGTCGATTACGGGCGGAAATTATTAACTTTTCAATTTATGAAGTTGTCTAGCACAAACAGCTCCATATTTGCGGTCTCGGGTGGGTATCATGGGCATGGCCTTTGGAAATGTCGAGGAATACTGGACCAACTGGTGTCTGAAATTGAGACACTTTTGTCTCCTTTTCACAACTCGGTAATTTTGACTCCCGCGTTGAGACGGAAACAATGTCTTAAGGTATTTATAGCGTAGGCAGGGGCGGTCGAAAAAAGTCAAGAAATTGATTATTTTTTTTACACATTCTTTGATTTTTTCAAAATCCCAGGTAGCCTAGAAGAATGGGTGAAACACAGGAATTTTCCTAAAAAATGCATTTTAACGGGGCTCCTATGGGAATTCGGAAAAAAATATTAAAGGTAGAAAAAAAGTCGCCGTTTTCCTGAAATTTCGCACTTGGGCGGAGCTTTCATGGAGGGACATAAAAAAAAATAATCCAAGTGGCCTAGGAGAATTGTTTAGAAGGGATAATTAAAAAACTCATGAAAAATAGAAATTCTACGTGCGCAACTTGGAATAGCGAATCGTGGAGGGGTAAGCACGGCAAATACGAATGGAGTTGTGATGATACATTTCGCTATGGGAAGGAACATAACAGCTGAGTGAATCAGTGCTGCCAACTTGTACCTCGAACGGCACGACGTCACTTTTTCTATCCATATTAATTATTTAAAAATAAAAGAAGGCTTGAAATATGTGGGAAAAATAGAAAAGTTATTAAAAAAATATTTCGAACACAAAAATGGTCGAAATGAATTGAAAATGTGTAATTGAAATATCGTTTTTTTTGTTCAGCGATTGGTTTTCTGCGAGAGAATAATAGATTCCCCTGCGTCTCACATCCTACAGGTCCACCCCGCCATAAATACCTAGACCAAATATATTTTCCCTTTTTCGTGGTCGAATCACTCATTCATGTAGCTTTCATTCAACTATTCTTCAACAAATCTCACCCATCGATTTTCCCCCAATGTACAAACCATCGGAATTCATCAAGTAATTACCCTAAATGATCCTAAACGCTAGCATTAAGCGTAACTACTCAATAATAGTCCCTGTGGTGCTAATTAAATGAAAAGTTAGTGAGCATTACAATGGTTAATTTGCCTATAACTGGGGATTACTCCCTTGTTTTGCAGGTAATATCAGCCGGTAGACCCCACGCATTGCACAATTGTACAGCATCTGAAATGTCGAATAATATTGAAATTGACGATTACATCGGTAAATCAGGGTCAGGGTTAACAGTGCACTGTTTGGAGGATTATCAGGGTGGTCTGCCTATACAGAGTTATCAGCTTGAAGTTGTTGGTGAGGAGGATGATGGAGAGATACTTTTAAATAGAACAGTACCAGCTGGACCGAATGGACCTGTCTTTGAGGTCGCTGGCCTCACTGCTGGCAGAAGTTATCGATTGTTCCTGTATGCTGTAAATAGCAAGGGTAGGAGTGAACCAACGATACTCGAGCCTGTCACTCTGAAGGGTGTCGCCATGTACACAACTGGTATGTTTTCATATTTTTTTGCTTCCGAATGACAGTTTTGTAATTGTTCGAACTTAAGTTTTTGAATGGATGGAATTGAATCGTTCTTTTAGGTATTGTTGAGCCCTATCCATCGCCATTAATTAAAATTTAATTCATCGATTAGTTTTTTAATTTTGGATTTTTTTCGAAAATCGGTTGTCCCACGATAACTAAAAAAAATGTTCTGAATTGATTCAATGATGGCTTACAAAATTTGCTTGGGTGTCCTTTTGACCGAGTTCAAAGATGAAGGCGATAGCAATAATCGTTATTTCGATTTGTTTGAAAATTTACAAAAATTTTGTGTTTTTTGAAAATCAGAATTCCGGGGATATCTTTGAATATCATGCATCAAGTGAATTCAATCGTAGCTTAAAATGTTTGTTTTAATGCCATTAAGTCGAAGTTAAAAGATGATTCCGATAGCTCTATTGGTTGATTTGAGTTTTATGATAATTGTTGAAAATTTCGAATTTTTCATGAATTTCACTGAAAGTGAGCTTTCTGATNCGAGTTCAAAGATGAAGGCGATAGCAATAATCGTTATTTCGATTTGTTTGAAAATTTGCAAAAATTTTGTGTTTTTTGAAAATCAGAATTCCGGGGATATCTTTGAATATCATGCATCAAGTGAATTCAATCGTAGCTTAAAATGTTTGTTTTAATGCCATTAAGTCGAAGTTAAAAGATGATTCCGATAGCTCTATTGGTTGATTTGAGTTTTATGATAATTGTTGAAAATTTCGAATTTTTCATGAATTTCACTGAAAGTGAGCTTTCTGATTGTTTCTTCAAATGTGATGTTTCAAATTCATTCAAGTATGTGTAAATAAAATTGTTCTATTAACATTTTATCGAAGGGCTGAGGGGAGAGATAGAACCGTAAAAAAGACAATCGGTTGTACAGAAGAGAGGGATAATAAGAATAATGATGATGACAACATTCAATCAAGTTGAAAATCTGACAAGATTACTTGAAAAGAAATCTTATTCCATTTAATTAAAAGGAATAAACAATATAACCAAAAATAACTACACTATACGCAATACAAACGCAATTTCCCACTTGTTTTCCCAGTTCTATTAAATTCGTTAAACTATGGATTTTTACGTCACCCCGTTACACCGCTCTTCAACGATGCATGTTGCACGGGGGTTTTATTTTTTCGTCCACGTGATTTAAAACGACAGAAAAATGGCGTTCGAGAGCCGACGAATTGATGTAGCACAAGTGCTAGATAGCAAGTGGAAAATGAAAAATTGATGTCGATGATTGCCGAGGGTTTTCCAGATAAAAAAAAGTCCTCATTCATTCGCGTTGTCAATTAGACTTGCCGTCTATAAATAATGAGTCCTGAAAAATGACTGTAGCAATGAAAATGGCGGTCGTCGGTTGTAAATTATCGTGTGTACAATTACCATTCATCCTCTTTTTTCATTAATCCCCCTTTTCCGGACAAATGGACTTGATCAACGTTCAGAACCCCATCCCAAGAACAACTCTATCTCCATCACAACCGCGACCCCATCCCAAATGGGAGATCCAAAAATTAATCAAAAGGATGAAGCCCGTTGTTTCACGCTCATAAAGCATTAATTATCAAATTCCCCCGGGGTGAAAGGAAAATTTGAAATCCAAAAAGAGGGGAAAAAAATATTGAATATCCCAGGGGCGTTATAAATTGGAGTCTATTCAATGCCACAGCATTGAAGACACCATGAAAGCGTAACGAACCGTAACGCCTGGCTTCCCCCCCGCCAGATATAATCGCTATTACACAAATAGTCGTAATGGTCGCGTCAGTATTGCAATTAGTGGGTTAACCATACTCACCCTTTCCCCTCGTCTCACTCTAACAGAGCGCCCTTCCTCCTTCAACCCACAACCAAACTCCCTCGAATTGCAATAGGGTCCGGAGAGCGAGCTAAAATCTGTCTCTCTTCCCTTCCCCCCGCGCTCAATTTCCAAACTGTTACTGCTGGACGCAGCACTGCACCGAACCGCAGGTATCGTGCTCTGCGGACCTTGCAATTAACAAAACAGGTTATCTTCGATCATCAAACATCCGTAGACATACCAATTTGTATGCGATGTAGTGTTGAATTACAAAGGGGCTCGTTATTCTTCATACCTCGGAGTCAATTCTTGAAGAAGGGAGTTTGGTTCGTTTGCTTCGGTTTAAAATGGAATGTTCGTTTGTTGTATTGAAAATTTATGACGATTTCGTGAGAATGTTAACTCCAAGTGTGAATTTCATAGCGGACTCTGACGTCTGAACGCTTTCTGAATTTTTAAATCCGTTATTGAGTGGAGTTTACTTGAATTTCAAAATCACAATCGATAGGTGATTAAATATCTCAGTTCTAATTAATCATAAATAATCTAATTAGGTGAAGATAATGAATTAAACTGCCAAACTGGAATCCATACGAAGTAAACGGATAATTAATTGAATAATCAACTCATTGTAAACATCTAAAACTTCTCATTCAACAATAAAAATTTTGAAATTATCACTTCTATTCAAGTAAATTAACCGAACTCCAGAATAACTTGAGTGTAATTACTCCGGGATATAATTAACACTATAAGAATATCCATTTATAATATTTAAATTAATTGAATCTCGTGAAATATTCAGGTGATTTAAATAATATTAATTGTCGTGAATTCAAAACTAATTTAAACTGTTTCAAAATCAAACCATATTTATTTATATGAACAATTCCAATTAATTATATTATAAATAACTTAATTAGCTTCTAATATCACAATTACAAGTAAAATAATAAATTAAATCAATTGGTCATCGTTTGATCACTTCCGTTATCTTAAAAAAATTGATTAATTTATCTGTTAAACCGTTGAAAACATTTTAAAAATCAGAATGAAAATTAGAAAATTTTGGAGGAAGATTGACGAAGTAATTAAAAAATTTTCTATAAATAATTTATAAACAATCAATTTTCCACCATAAAAATCATTTTTTCGGAATCGTAACAAATTTATTCACATTGATAATTTTATCAGAAATGGATTTCATGCCTAAAAAAATAAGGTTTCCGAAAATTTAAACAATTTTAATTATTTATTTGTGAACAACGAATATTTAAACCATAATAATCCTAGGCAAAATGTAAATTGAATCACGCAGAATATTCACGATTATTTTCAAATATCTCTGACGCAATTTAATTGACAAATTTGATTTAAAATTTGGAACTGTAAAAGTGTGAAAGATACTTTGCTATCCTCAAACAACCGATGAACTAAAAATCCCAAAACAATCGATTCAACCAAACCCGAGAATAATCTGTATAAAATAATTTGTACCTCAAGGCTATCGTTAAAGCGATACAACAAAGTGAGACAGCCCCATTACAAAAAATATGATTTTATCGGGAGTGATTGCAGAGTAGAATTGATTGGAGAAATTGTATGGGGGAAATTGATCTCAATCATGATGCCTCGGTCGACAGGTACACAATGCTCGCGACACAAGGGTCGACCCACGGTATCCTAAACTCGTTTATATCCAGGCGGTCCTTACCGTTTTACACAACACAAACACGGGAGAAAATACATTGTAGCTACAGTGGAACGAGGTGAACCTCCTCCCCCGCCCCCTGGCTGGTGCTATAATGCACTCCCCAGACTATATAATGGAAACTCATTGGTAACATACGGTACCTGGGTCAACACTGGGGTTAATTCTGTTTTCCAGTGCGATTTCCAACGCAATACTTCATCTCTGCTTCTACCTTCTGGTTTCGGTTTGTTCAAGTGACATCAAGCATCGGTTTTCATTTTAACATTTCCGTTATGTTGTACTCGTTGAATTACATGGAATCTTTTGAAATTGCTCAGATGATTGATAAATTTTCGGATGTTTTTGTCTATTTTTAATCATTTTGGAAAGGTTAAAAACTTTTTTCTGTTGAATTTCACCACGTTTTTCTTTAAAAAAATATTCCAAATTCCCAAAATTTATAAAATGAATAATTGAAAATAATTTCATTTGTAAAATTTTGGAATATTTCTTGAATTAAATAACAAAATTAATTAATGGATTCATCTCTGCTTCTACCTTCTGGTTTCGGTTTGTTCAAGTGACATCAAGCATCGGTTTTCATTTTAACATTTCCGTTATGTTGTTCTCGTTAAATTACATGGAATCTTTTGAAATTGCTCAGATGATTGATAAATTTTCGGATGTTTTTGTCTATTTTTAATCATTTTGGAAAGGTTAAAAACTTTTTTCTGTTGAATTTCACCACGTCTTTCTTTAAAAAAATATTCCGAATTCCCAAAATTTATAAAATGAATAATTGAAAATAATTTCATTTGTAAAATTTTGGAATATTTCTTGAATTTAATTAATTAATTAATTAATTAATTAATGGATTCATCTCTGCTTCTATCTTCTGGTTTCGGTTTGTCCAAATGACATCAAGTATCGATTTTCACTTAAACATTTCCGCTCTACCGTTCCCTTAAAATTACCTGAAATTTATTGAAATTTCTCAAATGATTGATCAACTGTCCATTTTAATAATCTCAATCATTCTGGAAAATTTAATAACTTCTTTCTCGCTTTCAAAACCTTTTCCTGTCGGATTCCACACATTTTTCTTTAAAAAAATATTCACCTCCAGAATTAAAAAAATTAACAATTAAAAAATAAATACCTCACTCGCAAAATTGAATATTTCTTGACAATCAATTGCCGAATTGATCTACGACCCTACCCTCTTAAAATTTCATTTCCCTTGCTTAAAATCCCAAAAAAAATTCCTAGCCCAAAAAAATCAGATGCGCTCGATCCCCCCCCCCCCCCCCCTCCCCCGGCCCTCAGTACATTCAAGTGCCGCCACGAAGCCTAGGTTTTCATTTAAACACCTGTCAACCAGTCTTAACACGTGTCGGCGTGCTGCACGTCACTCGAAACCCCTCGATTCTCGCTTTTTCCCATCGCCCC